AAGGACTACGTAACAATATGACAGATTCTGGTCAACATTCCCAGCACAAGGGGGAAGGAGGTGAGAACGCCACATGGAGTGTAAAGGAGCACATCACACTACATCAAAATAAGCACGGTACAAATTGCGATAGGGAAAGTGTGATAGGATGATTTAGGAAATGTGAATAGCCCATGGACGAAGGGGAGATACCACAGCTGTTTTGCACACGTTTGGTCAAAGGATGGGCTTCACTTGTCTCTTTGGCGAGTTGTTGTGTGGTGCCAAGAATGGCGAGACTCACTGACGATGCCGGCGAAACGTCTGGGGATGTACCATGTCCACGGTCCTACTCTGGAAATGATGATGCATACAATGGACTCCGGACTTGGTACGTTCCTCTAAGTTTTCCTACCAACATGACCATGTTGCGAAAACAAGGTCAAACAACCTCTATATAACGAAAGGAGACTGCGTCCACACAAAAGACCACACCATCTTGGTCTTCATACCTACGATACACGAGTTTTATTTATTCGTATCTCTTACTTATATATAGTCATGATTAGGGTAGGGTGCCATGGAAACATTTTTATTGAAAAAGGGCGCTGTGACGAGGAAACGTTTGGGAACCAGTGATTTAGATTGAAGGTGTTTGATCTTTCCTTTTCTTGCCTTGGTTCTAATAAGGGTCACTTTGCTGCCCTTGTAGTATATATATATATACCTATATATAAATAAAGAGAGAGAGAGAGGGTGGTGGTGGTCATCAAACCTTGATGGCCGAGGATGTAAGTTACTTTTGCTGTTTCAACTACTTTGACTCATCACTGCTGGCTTCGTGCATAAGCAAGCACATGCAAGCACACTCACACACTTCGTGGTTGACATATGACGGTAACTAGCCAAATCACTTTAGACATCATCTAAGAGCTTAGATTGACAGTATCTATACAGAATGTTAGGGATTAGCCGGTGAGTTCTCGTGACTCTTTAGCTTGCATATAGCGGACGATGGACGATGGACGATGGACTAGAATAAATGGAGATTACCCCAAAAACAACGTCAACAAGAATGCTCCAAAAAAAGCAATGAACAATGGAGTGAAGTGAGATGGAGTGAAGTGAGATGGACTAAATTGAGATGGTGTAAAGTGAAATAGAGTGAAGTGAGATGGAGTGAAGTGAGATGGAGTAAAGTGAGATGGAGTAAAGTGAGATGGAGTAAAGTGAGATGGAGTGAAGTGAGATGGAGTAAAGTGAGATGGATTAAAGTGAGATGGAGTAAAGTGAGATGAAGTGAAGTGAGATGGACTAAATTGAGATGGTGTAAAGTGAAATAGAGTGAAGTGAGATGGAGTGAAGTGAGATGGAATGATGGACGATGGACGATGGACTAGAATAGATGGAGATTACCCCGAAAACAACGTCAACAAGAATGCTACAATAAAAGCAATCAACACTTGGTCAAGAAGAATCCTTTGGTGGTCGTCTTCAGTTGGGATCGACCTTCAAAGCTCTACACCGCACACTTCCACTCGAAATGGAAGTAAGCTCAACGACACTGAAGCGAGAGATTTCTCAAAATGTAGCTCTTCTTCATGTTGTCAAACTGAACCGGCAAGAAGATACAAGACAAAATAAGTCCTAACGACTGTCCTAAGAGGGTTTGTCGTCGCGTGGACGGACTTTGTTGGCTGACAAGTGATGCCGTCAGATTGGGGTGGAGGGTGGTGTGAGAGTGTGTGCCATGTCAGTAGACGTACTCGCGGCGAACGGCGAATCGGGAGAGTTGAGCTCGAGCAGAACGTCTACGACGTCGTCGAGTGCCGCCTGACAGTGGCCGACCTCGAATCCGGCCGAGATCATCCACTGCACCAATTCCAACACCAGCTCCAGCCTCTCCCAAACGTGGTCGTTGGGCTGTCGGGCAGAGGCGAAAAAAGGGAGGAGGGAGACCAGAGGCTGGC